ACTATGACATCGTGAACTGAGCAGAATTTTGGCCTCACACAGGACACCGCTGAAATTTGGAAGACCAAATTCTGCCCATGCTTTGGCCCTCCAAATGATGATGAACTACAGCTCCCATTATTACTGTCATTGGCTGGAGCTTATGGGAGTTGTAGTCCACTGACTGTTCTGCACTAAAGAGAAGGTCCATTTTTTGGTACCCACAAGCTGAATCACAGAAGTCAATAGTTTTCAGAGGACCGTACTCAGATGATCTCTGAGAGGGGGGGGCGGAGTGGGGAATGAGGGCAACCAAGATGATCAAGAGTCTGGAAACTAAGCCTTATGAGGAACAGTTGCAGGAGCTGGGTATGTTTAGCCTGGAAAAGAGGACACTGAGATGAGATATAACAGCCATCATCAAATATCTGAAGGGCTGTCACATAGAAGAGGGAACAAGTTTGCTTTCTCCTGCTCTGGAGGGTAGGACTCAAACCAATGGCTTCAAGTTGCAAGAAAAGACATTCTGACTAAACATGAGGAAGAACTTTCTGACAGTAAGAGCTGTTCAGGAGCTGTTTGGGAGGTTGAGGACTCTCCTTCTGTGGAGGTTTCTAAGCAAAGGTTGGGTGGTCATCTGTCATGGATGCTTTAGCTGAGATTCCTGTGTGCAGGGGTTTGGACTAGATCATGGGTAGGCAAACTAAGGCCGGGGCCAGATCTGGCCCAATTGCCTTCTAAATCCAGCCCGCAGATGGTCCGGGAATCAGTGTGTTTTTACATGAGTAGAATGTGTGCTTTTATTTAAAATGCATCTCTGGGTTATTTGTGGGGCATAGGAATTCATTCTTTTTTCTTCTTTTTTCCAAAATATAGTCCGGCCCCCCAAAAGGTCTGAGGGACAGTGGACCGGCCCCGCTGAAAAAGTTTGCTGACCCCTGGATAGATGACCTCGGGGTCCCTTCCAACTCTGCAATTCTACGATTCTATGATATTGTAGAACAATCAGCAAGCAAGATATATTTTAAGTCAATCGCAGCAGGTAGAGCAGAAAAAGCCTTCCTTCTCCTGAAGAAAGGGCTTGCCATCTCCAGGGTTTTGTAAAAATACAGTGGTACCTTGGTTGAACGTTTCGGTTTTCGAACGCTGAAATCCTGGAAGTAAAAGCTTCTGTTTTTGAACGTGCCTCAGAAGTTGGACGGCTTCCGAGGCTCAGTGGTCAATTTTCTCAAATGAATTTGCCGACCATTCATTGCGCCTCGGTTGTCAAAATGTTTCGGAAGTTGAACAGTCTTCCGGAACAGATTGTTTGACAACCGATGTACCGCTGTATTATAATTACATTGGTACCTCTGGTTGCAAACGGGATCCGTTCTGGAGGCCTGATCGCAACATGAAAGGAGCGCAATCTGCAGTGGCGCATCTGCACACGTGCGGGTTGCAATTTGGCGCTTCTGCGCATGCGCATGACTTCATTTTGCACTTCTGCGCATGCACGAGCGGCGAAACCTGGAAGTAACCCTTTTCGGTACTTCCCGGTCACCCCAGGACGTAACCTGAAAGAACGTAACATGAAGCAAATGTAACATGAGGTATGACTGTATCATTGTTTTTAAAGAAAACTATGCTGCCAAATTAATTTCAATTTGTTAACTTTAATCATTCAGTTGATTTCTCCCTGCCCCCAAAATTGATTAGTCTAAGCGATTGATGGCCCATCAAAGCTGCAATCCTATGCTCAATAGAATTTACTTCTGCATTGACAATGATGCGGTTAGTTCCCCACCTCACATTCTGCGATGTGGCATGGCCTAAAAATGTGTGCTGTTAATAATCTAGGTGATGCTTTGCAGTGTGACATAAAGAGGTTGTCTGAACACTTGCTACTTGAAGGAGCTGGGAAATGAGCTAAGTGCCACAACGGGAAGCGGAACATCCTTTCATCTTTTACCACCTAGCATGGAAACAAGACAGCAAAGTGGGAATGATACCTTTGAATGGGTCAATTAATGTTCTCAGAGTCTTGCGAGGAAAGGGAGCCAAACTGTTCAGAACTCTCTTTCAGTCCAAGAGGGAAAGTGCCTTTTTCTCTTCCTTCCCTAGTTCCGCAACAAAAGGAACCTGTAACTTTCAGGAACCTCATTCAAGCCACTTAAGAATCGTTTAAGCTCTGCTGAAGAGCTTCAGGTTACAAAGAGGCCTTCCTGCGGCTTTCTCTCTTTCAAGGCCTCGCGGCAGTTGTCTGCTTTTAGCAGGCTCTGGGAATATGGTGCATGCAAGATGCGATTTTAATACCAAAACCCCACATGTAAAAACAAAAAAACCCTGTCCGTCTCCTCCACCCCACCCCGGGACAAAAAGAACCCAGGAAAAATACCTGTTTGCCGTTCAGAATGTAACAGCAGAACCTGAAAACTCCCAACACTGTTTGACAAGGGGATGTGATATCTGTTCTAAAAAACGCCACGTTCTCTGTCGAGGTGAGCTGGTTTTTGTAACCTGTGGAAATGGTGCAATTGAACATACATTGGATTGTTCAGGCATTGGTTTCCCCCGCTGCGTTTGCTAGTTGCGAAGGGTCATAAGTACATAAGAAAAGCCCCTTCTGGATCAAGCCAAAGCCCCATGCAGAGTCCCCTCTTGTGATTCCTGGCAACTGACCATATGCCTCTGACGGTGGAAGGAGAACATTGTTATTGTGGGTAGTAGATAGGGCCGGTCCACCCGTTAGGCAAGTTGAGGCGATTGCCTCAGGTGGCAGGATCAACAGGGGCAGCAAATCCCAGTGTCTTTATTTCTTGTTCCTGATGTAGATTTTCCCTGGCAGAGAGACGGGCACCATTTTGAGGTCTGCTTCAGGTTCCCTAAACGTCTTGGTCCGACTCTGGTAGTAGCCACTGATAGCTCTATCCTCCATAGTGAGCTGACCACGATCATACAAAAAAATTCGTCTGGTCTCTGTCCCCCTCTTCTCGGTCTTCATTGCAATTTAGGCTTCTTGAAAATAGCTTGAATTGCCAAACAAAAACCAGAAAGAAAGAAAGAAAGAAAGAAAGAAAGAAAGAAAGAAAGAAAGAAAGAATTGAGATTGTCAAGGTGCTGTTTCCTGCAGCTGGTACTAAATTCTGAGCTTGTGCAGAATTAAGAAGCTGTTAATATCATCGGTCTATCTAGCTCAGTACTGTTCCCAACTTAACTGGCAGTACAGTGGTACCTCAGGTTACAGACGCTTCAGGGTACAGACTCCGCTCAACCCAGAAATAGTATCTTGGGTTAAGAACTTATACTTCAGGATGAGAACAGAAAATTGTGCTCCGGCGGCAGCAGGAGGCCCCCATTAGCTAAAGTGGTACCTCAGGTTAAGAGCAGTTTTCAGGTTAAGAACAGACCTCCAGAATGAATTAAGTTCTTAACCCGAGGTATCACTGTACCTCTTCCAAGGTTTCAGGTGGGAGTTTTTTCTAGCCTTACCATAGAGATTGTTGAGGACTGAACCATGGAACCTTTTGCAAAGCAAAAGCATATCCTGTGCCCCAGTATACCATGAAGAGGTGTCTCCACCCCCATCGTTTCAGCCCAGGACACAGAGGTCCAGCTCTTGAGGGGCCTTCTGGCGGTTCCCTCCCTGCAAGAAGTGAGGTTACTCGCCGGGAACCAGGCAGAGGGGCCTTCTTCGGGTCAGTTTGGCCGCCCACCCTGTGAACGCCCTCCCATCAAGCATGTCAAAGGAAATAAACCATCTATCCTGACTCTTTAGAAGAACATCTGAAGGCAGCCCTGTTTAGACTTTTTAATGTTTTGATGTTTATCGTGTTTTTAATATCTTCGTTGGGAGCCGACCAAAAGTGCTTGGGAAAACCCGCAGATGGGTGGATGTATCAATCATTATCTATAGTTCAATCAATCAATCAATCAATCAATCTGTCAATCAATCAATCAATCAATCAATCATTAGCTGCAGCCTTTCCCCCCAAAGGAAAAAAAGTTTAGGATGCAAATCACAGAACCACAAATTGCAGGTTACACACAGGTCAGCATTTGATGTGCTTCACAGTAGGCTGACGACAGCCAAAGCAGCCCCCAACCAAATGTAATCATAAACCACCATATTAACAAATGTGGGAGATCTGCTTTGAAAGCAGGCCAGGCAGAGGAATCCATGTGAAAATAAAATCGGAGAGTGGTCAAAGACTTGCTGGCGTGGCTTTTAATCCAAAGTATCGTCACTCCAAGCTGTGAATGATAGGGAAAATGCCACCTAACCTGTCTATCACATTACTTTTCCTCCAGGATGTCATCACATTTTGTTCTCCAACCCCTGAGAGGTAGGCTAGCTGGGTTAAGAGTCACTAGCCCAAGGCTTCCAGAGAAAACATCCTGGCAAAGTAGGGAATTCGAACCCAAGACTCCCTGATACAGTTCACCACCTTACCCAGTATGCCACACTGATTTGCTAATTTCCCTCTTTCTCCCTCCGTTAAAAATGATGGCCGTGGTTGCATCCAAGTGGTCGACTTACTCAGAGTAGACCCAATGCAGTAAAATTGCCGTGGGTGACTTGGATCCACTAACTGCAGTAGGTCTTCTCTGAATAGGATCCGCACTTGGGACAAAACTATACTTTGACACCTCAGCATTCAGCTCTTGCACAAATCTTTTTCCTTTTGCTGATGAGTCATATATGCCCCTGACTCATCTACCGAGATCTAGAAACGCAGGAATGCGTTGCTTTCAGGGAAAAGGCTGTCATGCAACAGCAGAATGCACATTTTGCAGGTTGAAGGTCTCAGGTTCAGCCACTGATGTCTCCGGGAAGAATTGGGAATGGTTTGTGGCTGAAACCTTTGAGAGACGATACTGGTCCGTGTCGATAAGACTTTACAAGGTGGGCCAACAGTCCGCCTCTGCGTATGCCAATTTTCGATGTCCCTGAGTATCGAGCATCAAAGTGACCCAAGCAGTGTTTGCAGACGTCGTCTAATTTTCCACAGAAATGACAACGCAGACTTATTTTCTCTTAGGCGCAGTCCCAGGGGTCGATAACGCTGAAATAATCCCGGCTGTCAAAGAAGAAGATCGCCTGAAAGAAAGCAAGGTGAGGGAGTTTGGCCAACATACGAGGACACTCTGGGCCTGTTCAGACATTCTTCTGAACATAGGTGTTGGGGGACAACGGTGTTCCTGTGGCTTGTGTGAGCCTGCCCCCTAGCAGTAAGCAGATTCCTTTCCCCCCTTGAACTGTTTTAAAAATATTGCTTCAACTTCTTAACAGCTCCCTGTCCACCCAGTGTCCACCCCCAGAATATTCCTAGAACGCCACTAGCATTAAAATTGTCTAGTTTTCTAGATTGTAAGGTGGGGGTTTTTTTTGGGGAAAAACAATGTAAGAAAACCTGCCGCCACCATAACAAACACATTTTTTCCTTTAAAAAAGTCACACAGGAATGTGGAGCCTTCCTGGTGTTGGTGGACTCCAGGTCCCATCAGCCCCCAGCCAGCATGGCCAAAGGTCAGGGGATGCTGGGAATTGTAGTTCAGCATGGTGAGGCCTATAACACCTACCATTCTTGATGGGGGAAGAGAGGTAGGGAATGAAGTGAAGGAGCGTCTCCACCCCCATCGTTCAGCCCGGACACTGAGGTGCCTTCTGGTGGTTCCCTCACTGTGAGAAGTGAGGTTACAGGGAACCAGGCAGAGGCCTTCTCGGTAGTGGCGCCCGCCCTGTGGAACACCCTCCCATCAGATGTCAAGAAATAAACAACTATCTGACTTTTAGGAGTCCATCTGAAGGCAGCTCTGTTTAGGGAAGTTTTTAATGTTTGATGTTTTATCATGTTTTTAATATTTTGTTGGGAGCCGCCCAGAGTGGCTGGGGAGGCCCAGCCAGATGGGCAGGGTATAAATAAATGATAATGATAATGATAATGATGATTATTATAATAGAAGTCACCATCCCTCCCCCGTGGTAAGTGTTTCCTCTTGTCTAAAACCACTTTAACTGCTTTAGGCCCACCCCAAAGGCAACATTATTCATGTAAAATATTTTTAATAACTGAAATGGCCCCACAAATTCACATGTTGTGAATGGCTGTTGTGAATTTTTTTTGGGGGGGGGCAGCTAATATATGTTCTCCCTGTGTTGCCAAGCCATTTTGAGAATCAATGATGTTTATTTCATTTTGTTTGCTAATAATTGGAGAGTGCTAAATCCTTTGGACAATACAAAAATTTGCAGCTTTTTCTCATGTAGCACTGGATGTGATGTTCCTTCCTTCCTTCCCAGGTGTTCATGAGAGCCCTCTTCTCCTACAACCCAAAAGAGGATAAAGCAATCCCATGCCAGGAGGCCGGGCTGCCATTTCAGAAAAGGCACATCTTGGAGGTGGTGAGCCAGGACGACCCGACGTGGTGGCAGGCCAAACGTGTGGGCGACACGAATCTCCGGGCAGGGCTGATCCCCTCAAAGCAGTTCCAAGAAAGGTTGGTCAGTTGTGTGTGACTGTGGGTTGGTCAGTTGTGTGTGACTGTGGGTCAGAAAGCATGCGCAAAACCGTGGACTTTGTGCAGGTGTGATGACAAAACCATAGTGACCTGTTACGAGAACAAATCTGTGATGAACCTCAAACTCTCATGTTTCTTCCTCCCCTTCCCTTGAGTGAGAGGGGAAGTGGGTGGTGAGGAGCTTCTGCTTCTGGTCTGTGGCAAACTATAATTGGCCATTTCATCAAAACGTGACAAACTATGGTTTGTACAAACCATTGTTTATCTTCAAGGCAGTATTAAACTGTGGTTGAGGCTTGCTGGTTTGAGGACCAACCACGCTTTGCCACACTGGGGCAAAACCACAAACTGTCTGAAGGGGTTCAGGTTGGTGAAGTTTGTTCCAAGATCTTTTAACTAGGGGGTCTTCTTTAGGCGTCCCCATCAACTGATGGTTTGGTCCAGGGAAAAAATGTTCTTGTAGTGTCTCCCTAGGGAGACTTGCCTTTATGTTGCTTTGGTACCAAGTAAAGAGCTTTTTAAGGGACGCGGGTGGTGCTGTGGGTTAAACCACAGAGCCTAGGACTTGCCGATCAGAAGGTCGGCGGTTCGAATCCCTGCAACGGGGTGAGCTCCCGTTGCTCGGTCCCTGCTCCTGCCAACCTAGCAGTTCGAAAGCCGTCAAAGTGCAAGTAGATAAATAGGTACTGCTCCGGCGGGAAGCTAAACGGCGTTTCCGTGCGCTGCTCTGGTTCACGAGAAGCAGTTTAGTCATGCTGGCCACATGACCCGGAAGCTGTATGCCGGCTCCCTTGGACAGTAAAGCGAGATGAGCGCTGCAACCCCAGAGTCGGCCACGACTGGACCTAATGGTCAGGGGTCCCTTTACCTTTACTAAAGAGCTTTTTAATTTCTTGGGCTTTGAAAGTCTCCCCTACTTCGCTTTTATGCTGCTTCATTCTTGTTTCAATTCCACTGATGTTTTATGAATTACTCCTTTTAATATTGTGGTGGTTTAATATTCTTTTTTAAATATTTGTTTAGCATAATCTTAGCTGTTCGTAAGAGAGGTAACACACACAGTGCTATATCCTATGCAACAGTGCTATATCCTATGCAACAGCGATCAGGGACCCAACTCCCATCATTCCTGACCATTGGCTATGCTGGCTGGGGCTGATGGGAGTTGGAGTCCAACGACATCAGGAGGGCCACAATTTCCCCACCCGTTCTTTGCAAGGCAGCAAATTCTGCACCTGAAGTCTCAGAGGTCCTGTATGAGCAAATAGGTTTAGGAGCGACGTGTTCAGCCACTTCAGATGAGCTTGATCCTCTCAGCTACCTGTGCAAAGCTTAACGCTGTTATCGCCAGCACCAAATTTCTCTTCCCTCTTAAGCCTCTCTGAAGCAGCTGCGAGGGGCTTAGAACGGGAAAAGAATCCATCTCCTCTGAAAGGCAAGATGCGACTTGCCACTATGAATTTTTCTCTTCTTAAAAATTGATTTTTAGTGCAAAGGAGGGAACAACAAATCGATGGTAATAGAAACAAACGTTCTGCGTGCGGCAGAGCAGCTGCCTTCTGCCTTAAATCACACCGTTTCCTTTTGCGTGCTAAGTCCTTGCACAGCTCTTCCTTCCCTCGTCCTGCAGCAGTCAGAACTAACTCGCAAGGATCAGGAGCAAAGAGAGTTGCAGTGGCTGCAGAGAATAAAACCAAGGAAGAGGACCAATGCAGCCTATTCCCAGAGCTGTCCTGGCGCAGGGTGGGGTGGAACTGGGGCATTATAGTCCTGGCCCCCGCAAAGCAAGCTCTCCACCCCACATCACTGCTGTGGATTCTGCAGGTCCTTGCCATGGCCCTGCCACATGGCTCACAGCGTACACTCACGTGGTTCCTTGCATTGTGGCAGGGCTCCAGCCTCACACCTGCCCCTGGCTCCTCATACCCTCTGGGAGTCTCTGGACCTTCCCATCTGCCTTCTGAATCCAAATAAGAAGCCAGCTGCTTGTTGGCTTATCTTGGACTCTTGCCCCTTGAACAAACCTGCCGATGCACAGGCTTTGCACGTGACTCAAACCAAGCCAGATTTGAGTCTTGGGTCTGAATTCCTGCACCTGCCTAGAGCATAGGCACAAAAGCAGGACCATGGACAGCTCCAGGCTATGCACTGGAAGGACAGATCGTGAAGCTGAGGCTCCACTACTTTGGCCACCTCATGAGAAGAGAAGACTCCCTGGAAAAGACCCTGATGTTGGGAAAGATGGAGGGCACAAGGAGAAGGGGATGACAGAGGACGAGATGGTTGGGCAGTGTTCTCGAAGCTACCAGCATGAGTTTGACCAAACTGCGAGAGGGAGTGGAAGACAGGAGTGCCTGGCGTGCTCTGGTCCCTGGGGTCACAAAGAGTCGGACACGACTAAACAACTAAACAACAACAACAGCTACATGCAGCTGGCTAGTATGTTGCTTCAGCATGTCAGGAGAGCCCTCTGGGTGTGTCCCTCCCCTCCGTTTTTAAAAATTAAGTTTTCCCAAATTTCACACATACATTTCAATTCACAATCCAAACTTTTTTCTCTTTTTTTTCGACTTCCCACCCCATTTTCCATGTGTTTCTGTTTCTCTCCCTCTGTTGCACGCTGTCTTCTATCTCTTAAACCTTAACCAAACTTCTGTCATCTTTAAACCCTTCTGTTGCTCATATTTCAGATTCTGCTTGCGTGTTTGTCATGTAATAATCATTCTTTAAATAAACCGAAAGGGGCTTACATTCTTCCACAAAACCTTCATCATTAAATTCTCATATTTTAGCTGTTAACTTTGCCAGTTCTGCATCAGCTTGCTTGTCCATTCTTCTTGGGTGGGTATTTTTGTTTCTTTCCATTTTTGTGCGCAGAGAATCCTAGCTGCAGTTGTAACCCACAGGGGGGTTAAATTAACTAACTCTTGGCACTATGGTTCATCTCTGGGCTGCAGTTCACATCAGCTCTGAGCTTTGGCCATGCTGGCGTAGGCTGATGGAAGTTGGAGTCCAACAACCTCTAAGGGTTCTCCATCCCTGGTTGACATGGCCTTCACGCAGCTCGGGGTTTCTAGCTGTGTCCCACTGTGCTAATAATAATAATAATAATAATAATAATAATAATAATAATAAAAATAATAATTTTGGCTGGGCCTCCCCAGCCACTCTGGGCAGCTCCCAACAGAATATTAAAAACACAATAAAACATCAAACATTAAAAACTTCCCTGAACAGGGCTGCCTTCAGATGTCTTCTAAAAGTCAGATAGTCGTTTATTTCCTTGACATCTGATGGGAGGGTGTTCCACAGGGCGGACGCCACTACCAAGAAGGCCCTGTGCCTGGTTCCCTGCAGTGAGGGAACCTCCAGAAGGCCCTCAGAGTCAGACCTCAGTGTCCGGGCTGAACGATGGGGGTGGAGATGCTTCTTCAGGTATACTGGGCCGAGGCTTTAAAGGAGCTGCGCTCGGCTCTTACGACACCGACTCTGGCAGAGCTAGGGGGTTTCCTGCTCCACAGAGAGTGAAGAAATATGAGTCCGAAAAGAAAGACAGAATGACTTTTTCAGGTGCTGTAGATCGGGGTAGGCAACCTAAGTCCTGGAGGCCGGATGCGGCCCAATCGCCTTCTCTATCCGGCCCGTGGATGGTTCAGGAATCAGCGTGTTTTTACATGAGTACAATGTGTCCTTTTATTTAAAATGCAGCTCAGGGTTATTTGTGGGGCCTGCCTGGTGTTTTCACATGAGTAGAATGTGTGCTTTTATTTAAAATGCATTTCTGGGTTATTTGTGTGGCATAGGAATTCATTCATTCCCACCCCCAATATAGTCTGCCCCCCCCACATGGTCTGAGGGATGGTGGACCGACTCACGGCTGAAAAAGGTTGCTGATCCTTGCTGTAGATGGTGTCCCCCTTTCATGGCAGAGCAGCATCTTCTGGGGATAATTTCTGCACCATGTGCTCTTCTTCTTCCTTATCCTCAGACCCTTCTGACTGGGGTTTCCCAGCTCCTACATCATAATAACTTACAGAACAGATCCAGGAATGGGATCTGCATACACCTCCAGCTATTGGCAACCCATGTCCCTCTCAAGGAAAGCTCCCCATGCTTGTTCCTGAAGAGAGGCTGTTTTGATGTACTAGTGATGTGGGATGTGCAATCAATGGGGGTGTGTGTGTGTCAAGGAATGAGGGGTTTTGAGAAGCATCAAGGAGATGGTTGGAGGTGGGGCACAGTGGTGCCGGACTGGACTGTGTGCAGTCGTGGGAGTAGAGCTGTTGTAAGCTTGGACAGCAAATGGTCCGTGAAACAATGAGTCACGCTTGCACCTAGAGCCCAAAACTCAAGAGACTCCATCCGGAATCAGCATCCTTCCTTGCTCCTGATGCACCCTCTTTTAGACAGCAAGGAGCTTGGGGGCAGGGACGTGCCTTGTAAAAACCCATGCACACTACTGATGCTGGGGTTTTGGCCCAGAAACTGCTTTGGTCGCCCTGTACAATGACCTCTGTCGAGAGAGAAACAAAGAAAAAAATGTCCCTGCTAATTCTTCTCAACCTCTCAGCAGCTTTCGATACCATCGACCAGGGTAGCCTCCTGGAGTGAATGTCCGAACGAGGGGTGGGAGGCAGGATTAAGACCTCATCTCATCTTATCAAGATAATTTTATTGGAACAAGATATGAAGCTATTGATTATGCGGCCAGCGTATTCCCTTTTCTACGTGACCCATCTCTTGCGAAGGCACACCATGGAAAGGAACAACCAGAAGATTCAAGATTTCTGTACCTGCTTTTTCTTTTTTTTTAAGAGGAAAGTGAGAGATGCGTTGAAGGGTACATTACAGTTGAGAAAGGGAGTACCCTGGAGGAATGGTTCTGTGAACAGGCAGGAGAATTATTTATTACACCATGGTGGGGAACCTTTTTTCAGCTCAAGGGCCACATTTCCCACCTGGGTAACCTTCTGAGGGCCACCTGCGAGTGGTGGGCAGAGCCACAGGCAAAAGCAGGTGGAGCAACAAATGTATATATATTTTTTACCCTTGTGCCATAAGCTAGATCTGTCTGATTACAAGCACACATGCACACAAACACTATCCTCTGTCCAGGCAAGCAAGATACATTATCAGAGTTCAAGGTCACATGAGCCTGGAGAAAGTAGTTGGGGTTGCATTCGGTGCAGGGCTAATGTGAATCTTCTCTCACTGCAAGGCTTTCTCCTTCCACAACAGAACATTCTCCTCCTCCTGCATGCCCCCTAAATCTGCTCTGCAGTTTTCCCCAACCTTCCGAAACAGATTTGGGAATGGTGTGGGTCGCACACTAGGGCAAGGAGCGGAGGAAACCCCATTCCTCTTCGTGCTAATCCTCGCACTCATGCAAGGATTTAGTCCAGTGTTTCCCACACTTGGCTTCCCAGCTGTTTTTGGAGTACAACTCCCATTATCCCTAGCTAGCAGGACCAGTGGCCAGGGATGGTGGGAACGGTAGTCCAAAAACAGCTGGGGACCCAAGTTTGGGAAACACAGATTTAGTTGAGTACTTGGGAGCCAGTGTGATGTAGTGGTTAAGAGCGGTGGACTCGTAATCTGGGGAACCGGGTTCGTGTCTCCGCTCCTCCGCATGCATCTGCTGGGTGACCTTGGGCCAGTCACACTTCTTTGAAGTCTCTCAGCCCCACTCACCTCACAGAGTGTTTGTTGTGGGGGAGGAAGGGAAGGAGAATGTAAGCCGCTTTGAGACTCCTTCGGGTAGTGATAAAGCGGGATATCAAATCCAAACTCCTCCTCCTCCTCCTCTTCCTCCTCCTCTTCTTCTTCTTGGAATGTTGGAGCAAGGCTAGAGAGGGTTGCGGCCTGGGAAAGGGGGAGCCCGGAGGCAGTTCCAAGGGCCAGACAGAGGTGCTTGGAGATCTGCATTTGGCCGCCTGAGGTTCCTGTACATTGCATTGGAAGCCAGTGCAATGCTGAAGTTAGAGAGCCAGCCTAGGACTGCTATATCTAAAAACTAGGACAGGCTGATGGCCACACCAGCACCCAGATGCAGCTTTGAATCTCTTTTTTCCCCACTGCAGCAGAAGCCATGAAATAGATGAGGGAGAACCTGGCAGTTTCTGGTCACTCAGAACTGCTTCTCAGTAGAAAGCTCAGAGACCCCTTTTTGGGGAGCAAGGGAAATGCACAATGCGTGTCTTAATTTGGGAAACCGGTATGGATCAGGAATCTGTTCTGGATCAGGACCCCCCACAGCTGCTTCCCTCTCCTTTGGGAGTTTCGAATGGCGGTGGTGATTATGATTATTAAAGTCTGAACAAAGTAACGTGTGATTTGGCCCTTGATCTCGTTTGATTTCAGCAGGAACTGAGCGCAAGGAGCACATTCCGGTTCTCTGGTTTGAAGCTTTCTTCTTGAGTTCTTCTCTGCCCCCTTTCTGAATCGAAATGATAAACTATTGTGTTTTTCTTTTTCCATGTAGGCGTCTGATGTACAGAAGGACCATTGGAGCGCTGCACAATGCCAGAAGCGTCGCAAAACCGCTCTGTGAGTCACCGCGAAACCTTTCCCTCGTTTGTTTAGTGTGGCTTGTGTTTCCGCTACATCTGGCTTTTCCTTTCTTTTTCCCAAACCGGGCTTCTTTTGTGAGGCTTTGCAGTGCCGTCCCTTGAAAGGTGCAGAGACACCGGGAGCCTGAAGAATGGCTGTGTCTTGCCATTCAGGTACAACAGCCGCAGTGTAGCGCTGTGGGGGAGGTAAGAGGGAATATGGGGAAGGTAGCTCTTTGCGAAAGAGAGCCTATTGTGCTGTGGCCTCCACACACTTCTGTAAGTTAATGGCAACTGTTTATTCTTTGTGCACGCAGTCAGGGCCCATGCAGTCCTGGTAAGTTTTTCAGGGCAGCTCAATGATGTCAGAAGACCAAGGCACTGTCTTGAGAGCCAGTGTGGTGTAGTGGTTAAGAGGGGTAGACTTGTAATCTGGTGAACCGGGTTCGCTTCCCTGCTCCTCCACATGCAGCTGCTGGGTGACCTTGGGCCAGTCACACTTCTTTGAAGTCTCTCAGCCCCACTCACCCCACAGTGTTTGTTGTGGGGGAGGAAGGGAAAGGAGAATGTTAGCCGCTTTAAGACTCCTTCAGGTAGTGATAAAGCGGGATATCAAATCCAAACTCCTCCTCCTCCTCCTCCTCCTCTTCTTCTTCTTCTGGACATCTGGTGGGCTGTGAGGAAGGCCCTGTTGTGCACTTGATGCCTTGCTCAGTGTCAAGACCAGGGGTCAGCAAACTTTTCCAACACGGGGCCAGTCCACTGTCCCTCAGACCTTGTGGGCGGTAGGGGGACTATATTTTTTGGGGGGAAATGAACGATTTTCGCCCGCCTGCAAAGAGGCCTGAAGATGCTTCGCTTTACCTGTCGGTAAAGTTGTTGTCCCAATAGCCGCAGTTGGGCTTCTCCAGCCAGCCAGGCACTGTGGCAGGGTAAGAGGCTGCGTTGGCTGGCGAAGGTAGAAGCAGCAGCCCTGGCGAAGGAGCTGCGGATGGAGGTAGGGGAACCGGGGCGTCGCCGGAGCTTTTACCCACCCTTCTGCTGCTGCTGCTTCCTGAGAGGCAAAGAAGAAGACAGAGCCGCCTGCCAACCCACAAGCGGTGACCGCAGTCACTGCAACAACCTGCCTGAACGCCATGGGAGAAATGGAGGGAGGGAGGCAGGCGGCGATGAAGGAAGCGCATGAGGAAGCAGCGTGGAGAAGGAAGGAAGGGCGGACTAAGGGAGGATGTGCAGGAGGAAAACGCAGCAGCCGTCAGCTGGCATCATACGCCCCCTTCACAGCGCTGCCCTGCTGAGGCAGGCAGGCAGGCGGGCGAGTCGACTCACGGCGCCTGGCGTGGGACAAGATCGCTCCTTACCTGAGGAGGAAAGTGCCACCATGTTAGGGAGAGGGAAAGAACATGTGCGCTGGCGATCCACGTGGTGATTCCCAGACCATCCACGGGGCAGATCTAGAAGGCAATTGGGCCTGATTTGGCCCACAGGCCTTAGTTTGCTGATCCATGGTCAAGACACTGCATGTGAGACGTTTCTCCTTTTCCAGGCAACCTTCTGCTTCCCTTCCAGGAGTTGCACCGATTGCCCATATTCCACGGCTGGTCCTTCCCTTTCAGCAGTTAGAATGTTTACACTGACATGCTGTGATATCACAGCAGCTCAGCCAATGGCTAAGGAAGTTCAGACACAGTTGCCCGGGGCGCCAGCTCAAGGGGGTCAAGCTTTTAATGGCCTCCCAATATCTTTGGGGAGGGGGGCTGGGCCCTCCAAATGTTGAGGGGGTGGAGGAGGCTGAGCACGGAGCCAAACATGGCGTGGCTTCAGTGACTGGCTCTTCCTTCTCCTGCCGTGGAAGGAGGCTGATCGTGAGAGAAGAAGGGGACCTGCTGGTATTGAAGCTCTGCCTCACTTGGCCTCCTCACGACGGTGCAATGTCGTGTGTGTGACATCAAACACACATGTGATGTGTGATGTCACACATGTGACGGTGGGCCCCCTCAATCTTTGGCGAAGTTGCCACCTCTGCACATGCCAGTTGTGTGTGTGTGTATGCAAGTTATATGTGTAAGATTCTGGACGATTAAAAATTATTTTATAGGGGAGTCTGCCCCTACACCTAGGGTCCTCAGAGGTTTAGAGTATCTGCTGCTTTAATCCCCCCTTATCCTCTGGATTAAGCTAGCCACACTGTACTGTGTCTCAATAGTGATTTGGTGAAATGGCTCTGAATTAAGTAGGAGCAGTGGTTTTGGTCCTGTGTGGTGTGATGACTGCTTTCGTGAATGCTTTGAGACCCATGTGGGACTCACAAGCTTCTGGAGAACTTTTGGAGCGTGGGCTGAGATGGGACAGTCCCGAGCCCAGAGTTTGCTTTATGCCCAGATGTAGCCCGGTGTTCTCAGCCCTGCAGCTAGCATGCAACAGACACAGGAAGCGTCACTGCAAATGTATAGCTGGTCTTTCCTTGACCATCTCCACTCACCCCCTGCACATCTGGATTTCAGGCAGCCCTGAGTCCCAGCACTTCTTTGCGTTTAAAAACGAAGCATTGCACAACCCCTGGAAATGGAATCTTTTTAGCAGAAAAATTTCCCACATTTTGAAATGCATTGTTTCATACAATTAATTTTTTACACGGTGAATATAACGCAAGGCAAACTGAGTGACTTGAATGGATATAACACCAATTATAATTATAATCAACTTTTTTCACGCGGCTATAATAAGTACATATATTCATGCACACAAAAGCTCTTCAGCCATGCCAATGTAAGTATGTTAACAGCTTTCAGTGCCTTTATGCCCTCCTCACTTTAAAATCCCCATAATGGGAGGGAAGCGTTTGCTGTTGAATGTGTTTTGACAATCCTTTCTTTGTATAATAAGCCGAGGAAACCAAAGTTGGTTACCAATTTTGGAAGAAGCCGGGATCTTAAGTCGTGCTTTGAAGTTGGTTTAATATCCTAAATTGTTTTGAAGCAGGGTAACAATAGTTCCCCAGTTTTCTGGAAAACGGTGGTTAGTAAAGAGACTTCCTGGCTCGGTTGTGGCTCATAGGGTTGCATGCATGGAGAAAATACTTAATTCATATATTGCCCTCTTAAGCCATGATATGATCATCTGAACAAAACATCTAGAATTCACTTGACTTATTTGAAAGACAATTGCATTAATGTAACATTGCTTGTAGGTTAACAAGAAGTTTTGTAAGGGGGACTATATAAATTATTGTAAAATGATTTAGGAAGAAAATAATTAGGAAAAGTTTAAAAGCATTAATTATAATAATAAAATGCAAGATTAGATAGCAAATTTGAAAATCACTAGACAGGATTGATGGACGTCTCAGGCTATAATAGCCAAAATGAGGATGATGTGAAGTTTTGTTTGGAAAACATATGCAAAAATTAATTAAAATGATTTATTTAAAAAAAGAATTCACTTGAATTGCACTTAAACAGTGCAGTCCTAGGTGTGTCTACTCAGAGGTTATACAGTCATACCTTGGAAGTCGAACAGAATCCGTTCCAGTTTGACCTATTTTATTTGTATGCCGCCTTTCCACAGTTAAAACAATGCTCAAGGCGGCTTACAATATGAAAAGATTTACATTACAAATATAGCAAAATAGTCATAAAAATAAACAAAACATATTAAAAACTACATAACCAAACTGAACAATTTCTACATAAAAATAAAGATACAAAAAGTTAATATCAGCAACAACAACAGCAACAACTCCCAGCAAAATTTTCCCCAAAATACCTCATTCCTTGATGGGCAGCAGCCACAGCAGCAGTCCTTATGAGGCCTGCAGGCCCCGCCCTAGGCCAGGTGGAGAGGGGCAGGACTGGGGCCCTCAGGTGTTCAGCCCAGGAGTCCTCCTGGGCCTTCCGAAACATTCGACTTTCAAAGTGCGGCTTCTGATTGGCTGCAGGAGCTTCCTGCAGCAAATCATAAGCCGTGGAAGTCCCGTCAGACGTTTGGCTTCCAAAAGAACGTTTGAAAACCGGAACACTCACTTCCGGTTTTTGATCGTTCGGGAGCCAAAACATACGAGTTCCGGGGCATTTGAGAACCAAGGTACAACTGTATTCCTATCTACTAACACCTTTGTTTTTATAAGATTTGCAGCACTGGAGTTTGTTGTTGATGCACCCCAATCCATCAGATATTGCAGTTAAAATAATACTGGCTGTTGCAAAAGCCTCAGGGAGATGCATGCACCGTGTAAAACCCATTTCTAGTTTTGCTTCCCAACTTTAAGCCAAACGGGCACGTTAATCTCTGATCTCAGTTGATTTAGGGCAACTGAAAATACTCGTTTCCAAAACCCGCATTGCTGTGTGCAATTCATCCTGAATTGAAGCATTTGCAGGATGCGGGCGAGAATAGGGAACTCATGGTGTTCTGGCTATGTGAACAGCATGTCCAAATAATGGTGCAAATTGGCCACAAAGTGTTAACCATCCGTGAGCCTCTCAGCTGGCAGCATCTGTTGTCCAACAAAGGAAGGAGGGTTGTTAAGCAGGCCAGAGAATGAATGAAAATGTTACTCCAGGGATCTCCAGCATTGGTGGTTCCATGTGGACACGCAGTGTCCTCTGTTACACTTACGGCAACAATCGAGAAGCTGCTGGTATCTCCCCGTGCAACTGTCCACATGTTTGAGAGGTCTTCCTTGCACACTAGGAACATAGGAACCTGCCTTATATCGGTCAAATGATTGGTCCATCTAGCACAGCTTTGTCTACACTGACCTCGGAGATGCTGGCGGTTCAGCCTGGGACCTTTTACACGCAGATCAGTTTTTGTCTTACTGCGAAACCATGGCTCTTCCCCACTGAGAGCCAGAATTTGAGCACGTGCCCCTAATGCTTTGGAATACTCCCCCCCCCCGGCCTCCTTTTAACTCTGCTGCCTCTTGTCTTTTCACGCTGACCTCAGACGATCAATCTTCTGAGAAAGGTAGGTTCACTGCCCGTTCCTGGAGCGAGCAAGCTGTGACTTTCCCTGCACGTAAAGAGCTTGTAGAATAAAACAGCTTTATTCGAGAAAAGCCAACCATGAAGCAGATCCAGATTACAGGAAGCTCAGAATAGTTTGTGTGCCATATGTACATTTATCGGTACAGCTTTCTGTCATTGGTTTTGCTTCCAATCCCCCCCCCCCCAAATACATCAACTGGACACATTGCAACAAAGGAGGTGAAAGCATAGTTTTGAAAGGGTGGGCACGGGGAGGTTTTCAGAATTTCCTGTGCAATCATAGGGACTAGGAACATGATTTCTTTTTTAAAATGAAAAGAAAACTGGAGGAGGGTGCTTCACACATGACTTTGCTTCCTATGGTGCATTATAGCCTCATCCCACACAAGTTTGGTCAGTGATAAGCTCTGCCTTGTGTGCTGGGCTTAGGATTGTACCCTCCCGTGTCAGAGAAAGAATGTGTGCATGCGAATAACCTTGAGATTCTGCAAAGTATTTAAACGCAAGAACATTAGCAGCCTGCTGGATCCGTCAAGTGGTCCAGCGTCCTGTTCTCACAGTGGCCAACCAGATCATAGCTGTCAACGTTTCCCTTTTTTAAAGGGAAATTCCCTTATTCCGAATAGGATTCCTTGCAAGAAAAGGGAAAAGTTGACAGCTATGAACCAGGTGCCTGTAGGAAACCTGCGAGCGGGTCCTCTCCCCTCCTGCGTTTTCCAGAAACTGGCATTCAGAAGTGGCGCTGCCTCCAGCCGTGGAAGCAGAGCGTGACCATCCTGCCAGCTATCCACTCATAGCTTTCTCTTTCACGAATTTGTCCCGTCCTTTTTTAAAGCCATCCAAATTGGTGGGAGTGAGTTCCCTGGTGTAACTGTGCACAGTGTGAAGAAGGGCTTATTTGTCACCTTTATCGAAGTGCTGCCACATTACACAGTGGACAGGAACATGGATGTGTATGTCAGGAGTTCAGCCTACAATCGAGTAGGACCCTGGCAGAGACACATGCGCGACTGGCATGTTCTCTCCCTCCTGGTCTTTCGTTCGGGAGCTTCAAAAGCTTTCTTCATCCTGAACATCACAGCGACCGATGCCAACTGATACAGCAGAGTTTGCGCAACTTGCGTAACAGACCTCAGCAACTCAGCATTTTGGCTCATCTACTTTATTTACATATAAACACACACGGAGCACTGCAACATGGCTCCCTCTCTCTCTAGCATCAGACAGCAAAGAGAAAAAGAAAAAAGGACAATAGTCCCACTTCACGGAACACAATAACACAAACATCCTGTCTCTGTCACTTCCCACTCTGTGGAATCAAAACATAAACCGTCATGTGATAGACAAAAACCCCATGACTGTAATCATGGAGCAGGAATTCTAACAGTGCTGACTGCTACTTTCTGTGAGTCTAAAGAGGGGGGAGAGGGCGTGGGTCCGGCTCTGTCGTAGCCCCAGTCCGAGTCCCGTTGCTGAGCTAGCAGGGGCTGGGAGGAACACTTGAACGAGAGCAGAATCCACATACAGAGTCAGGCAGTCCAGAGGTCAGGGAATCCAGATGATCACAAAACCAAAGGTCCAGTTGGATAGCAGGAAGCAACAAGGAAGGACCCAGAACCACAGGCGTTGTTTCCAGCAACAACTTGACTGCTGCTGAGAGCTCTGTTTAAGAAGCCCGGAGCCAGCTGGTTATCATCAGTGCCTTTTCTGTGTCCTGATCAGCTGCAGGTGGAGTCATTCCGCCTTCTCATTCATTGATTCATTCATCATTTTATTTGCATGCTGCCTTTCCATAGTTAAAACAATGCTCAAGGCGGCTTAAAACATGACAAGATTTACATAATTACCAGCATCACAAAAGTCATAAACAATAAATAAAACACATAAAAGTACACAGCCAAATGGAAAACAATTTCCACATAAATAATAAAATCTAAAACTAAAAATATAGCATTGATATCAATCACAATTTAAAATGACATAGATAAAAAATGAAAGGAATTAAAAAAACCAAAAAACGGAGTCCTCTCTGCCCAGAAGTGTGGGAATGTTGAGGGATGCAGGAGAGGCTATATTGTCTGATAATAGCCTTTCCAACTTGTGTTAACAAGTTCACAATTTAGCAGAGTAACATTCCCCTTTCTAAACTTGCAGCGGATGCGTTTGCTCAGGCTCGCTAAAGCCTCTATAATAACTGTTCTGGTATTTTCCCCTTATTCCCTCATAAAAGATAAGACACGACACAGTCTTCTATATAAGTATAAAAAGGTTTACTCACACATCATTCTTTTCACAATAGGATCCCAGAAGGGCAGACTTAGCTTAGAAAAGTAACACACACCTGGAAACTATCTCATATGGAGACAGTCCCTTTGTCCTCTCTTGGCTGCAGGCCAAGAGAGCATCTTTGGCTAAGCAGATGTTGCTTCTTCGACGAAAGTAGTGGCAGAGAGAGGGATGGCTGCCCTGCCCAGTGCTTTTGTCGTTACCTGCACAGGTGAGGCCACACCCACCTCTAGTCACATGCAGAGGAAGTCTGTCCTAGCCCAGAAGGAAACAGGAAGTTTACCTGCTGGCTGGACAAACATTCCTCCCCATGTGTAAACATGTGCTGTCTAGGAATGTTGTACTTGACTGCTCTTGTGTTTCATATCCCACAAGCAGCAGCAGTAGCACTCCTTTATAGAGTCTGTCAGGCCCCTAAGCCAGGTGGAGAGAATCAGGGCAGGGGCCTTCACATGCACCCCGTAGGTCAGTCAGTCTCCCCCTTCAGGCTGCTGTTCAGCAGGCGAAGCTGACTCCTGGCCCATGACACACTTTCGGCCTTTGTCTGGTTGGCCACTGTGAGAACAGGATGCTGGACTAGATGGGCCATTGGCCTGATCCTGCCAGACTCTTCTTATGTCCTTTGGGAGGCTGGCAAAAAGGCAATCTCTGCACAAGAGAGCAAACCTGCGAATGCTGGTCTCGCCCACAGCCCTGTCTAAGGCGGGTGGTGGGCTTGATTCAGAAAGGTTCTGGGGCGTGATGCCATTGCAGTGCCAAAAGGGCCGGTTGATTTGCTCCTCAATCTAATTTCCCCCGCTTCCCACGCCAGCCCAGGTCCAGGTCCGTTTGTATCCCTGTCCAGCTTGTTAATTAGTGGGTTTGAACAGGGTTTGCTGCAGAAAGAGACCTTTAGCGTGACAAAGCAGAGAGGGGATAAGCCCTGCGTTTCCTCTTAATATGCCCCCGGGGACTCTAATGTCAATCTTGTTTAATTTTCCTTAGCTATTATTTGCTGAGCTTTTTTTTTTTAACTGTGTAATTTTTGTGCTAATCACATGGATTAAGCCCCTGCCGTTTCTGAAAAGTGATTGTGTTTCTCTTCGGTGCTTTTGTTCACGCAGTAGGTAATTTCCTGCTGAACGAGGGAGTGCTGCTTTCTCCCTTTCTGACTTTTTTGGACTTGCTCCCTCCAAGAAAAGAGCAACTCCTGAAGGTTTTCAGCCTGCCGGGCAGGGTGTTGGTTGGTTCTTTTCTGACTTAATAGCTGCGCAGCATCTAGTGTTCCAGGCGATTTATAAATAAATGTTATTTTAAAAAAGGCTCGGGGGCTAGCTGTTCATCAAAGCGTTTCAGCTCCTGGTGCTGTTTGCTTTCAGTCTCTCTGTGGACCCCGACATGGTTGTTCCTTAAGTGACAAAAGTCAGAAATCCAGTTGGGAAAGGAGGAGGAGGAAATAGTTTTGATTGGGGCTGCAAATGATATGATGCAGGATAGCTCAGGCAAAGGGACATGGGTGGCGCTGTGGGTTAAACCACGGAGCCTAGGACTTGCTGATCAGAAGGTCGGCGGTTCGAATCCCCGCAACAGGGTGAGCTCCCATTGCTTGGTCCCAGCTCCTGCCAACCTAGCAGTTCGAAAGCACGTCAAGTGCAAGTAGATAAATAGGTACCGCTCTGGCAGGAAGGTAAACGGCGTTTCCGTGTGCTGCTCTGTGATGCTGGCCACATGACCCGGAAGCTGTACGCCGGCTCCCTCGGCCAATAAAGCGAGATGAGCGCCGCAACCCCAGAGTCGGTCATGACTGGACCTAATGGTCAGGGGTCCTTTTACCTTTACCTTTTAGCTCAGGCAAAACATGGGACCCACATGCAATACAGCAGTTCAGTACCCCTCCCCTCCCCTGTCCCCCGGGTTTCATGCAAAAACACCAGAGATGCAGCATACAAAATGAATCGTCTTTTGGTATATAGCACTGTCGTCTTCGTTCATCTGCCTCTCTTATCTTTTTCTTTCTAAGCAGAAGACTGTGATTGCGAAGGATACTTCAATGGGCAATATATAGGTGAGGAGCTGGTGGTCTGCAGCCCACTCTGGCCTTGGTTGTGGGTATCATATGTACATTTGCTACTTACATAATAAAAACAATTTATTCCTTATACCCCTCCCATCTGACTGGGTTGCCCCAGCCACTCTTGGTAGCTGCCAGGGTAATATACAAACACAGCAAAACATCAGGTGCTAAAAGCTTCCCGATAAAAGCTTCAGGTATACTGAGCCTTGGCCCAGTATACCTGAAGGAGTGTCTCCACCCCCATTGTTCAGCCTGGACACTGAGGTCCAGCGCTGAGGGCCTTCTGGCGGTTCCCTCCCTGCGAGGTGAGGTTACAGGGAACTAGGCAGAGGGCCTTCTCGGTAGTGGCACCCACCCTGTGGAACGCCCTCCCATCGGATGTCAAGGAAATAAACAACTATCTGACTTTCTAGAAGACATCTGAAGGGAAGTTTTTAACGTTTGATGTTTTATCATGTTTTTAATATTCTGTTGGGAGCTGCTCACAGTGGCTGGGGAAACCCAGCCAGATGAGCGGGGTATAAATAAATAGTTATTGTTGTTGTTGTTGTTGTTGTTGTTGTTATTGTTATGATTACAAGTTGCTTTCGTTTTACATGCTTGCTTTTGTATTGCAATTTATTGTATTTGCGTTAATGCATTTTACAAATGAGGCAAGCCACAAAACTTTGCAGCGTTGAAGTGCTTCTGGACAGGATTCCGGCTTAGTCAATCATATTGTCTCCCAGGATACGACATCCCATTTCCCTTTCACCCGCTCCCCCAGCAACATTCAGCCAGCATTCTGTGGCCACTGGGAGTAGCTATTTGGGCTGGTTTGGGGGCTTTCCCCTTCCTTAAGAAGTGGTGTTTTGGGTTTTTTTTTTGGAAGTTCAGAACCTTGAGCCTGTTTGGGGGTCCCCAACCTATCGGACCAAACTTAGTGACAACAATGTTCTTTTTGGCTTTGCAGCTGGCTTGAGACGGAGTTTCCGGCTGAGTCGAAAGGAGAAGCAAAATGGCCAAAGTGAAGCCAAGCAGGTTGAACAGCCTCACCCCTCGGAGCTCCTCACCTACGAGGAAGTGGTGAAATACCAGCAGCAGCCAGGAGAAAGAAAGAGGCTGGTGGTTTTGATTGGTGAGTTATTCTGTGAGGAAAAGGCTATCGCTGGTGTTACGTACTGAAGTTCTCACCCTGGGCCAGCAGGGGGATACTGTAGATAGTTTTCACTCAGGTCCACATATGCAAATAAGGGATTGAAAGTGATGTTCAGTGATTGGATAGTTACAGAAAGTGGTTACAGTTGCGTTGTAGTGGAGCTCTATATAAGCAGGTTGGCTGAAGCCTTCAGTTCAGTTCTGTTCTGGCCTGTGAATAAACAAGAGCTGTTTGAAGAATCACTGTGTCGTCTGATATGTTTACCCACAGCTGCCTTGCCCAGCAGCTTTATTTCTGAAATAAAGATATTCTGGAGCCCAAGACCAGCCTTTCCCAAACCTCTGAGAAGTGGAGAATAAATCTTGGGGGGGTTGTGCCTGAGGTGGTGTGTGTTTGTATATATATATCTGTATCCATATACAGTGGAACGTCGGTTGTCGAACGTAATCCATTCCAGAAGACCGTTCGGCTTCCAAGACGTTCGACAACCGAGGCACAATGAGCGGTCGGCAAAATCAATTGAGAAAAATGAGAAACACGCCTTGGAAGCCGTTCGACTTATGAGGCGCGTTCAAAAACAGCATTTACTTCCAGGTTTTCGGTGTTTGGCTTCTGAAATGTTCGGCAGCCGAGACGTTCGAAAACTGAGGTTCCACTGTATATAGAGAGATTGACTCAAAATAAGCCTGGTTTCACTATCCAAAGAGGACTGGAATTTGGATCAGCCTTAATTGGAGCCCAGGTAGTCTCAAAGAAGCAGTGCTTTTACATCGGGCTTTGCTAACTGGGAGTTTTGGACTACAATTCCCATCAGTCCCTGAGGCACCCCAGGCATGTGGGGCCTACAGTTGCCAAGCAGGTTGTCAAGGCTGGCGCATTAATTTTTTTTTGCAGATTTCTTCAGTGATGGGTCTTTAAAATACGGGTTTTGGGTGTGAGGAATTCAAATCTGCTAGCATTTTTGTGACTGGACCACATTTAGCTTGGTAAATCTGTGTTTGATTAAAGAGCACATAAATTGTTCTTGGAAAACCATTTTTTTTAAAAAAATTCACCTTCTGAAAACATCAAGTAATGCTAAATAATAGCTAATGATAATAGTAATAATAATACTATATAATGGCAGGTACTTGGCACTCATTTTTAATGATTTCTATGCAATTTTACACACATTTTACTTACCAAGCAAAACTAAGTTAGATTAATTTAACCAGTGCTATTTTTCTAGAAAAAGAGGTGCCAGAACTCACCATGAACTCACCTTTTTCTTTTATAATGGCAATGGCACCCACATGAGAGGTGCCTGAGTTCTGGTGAGTTCCTCCTGGGGAAAAAAGCCCTGAATTGAACCCAAATATTTTTTTTAATTCCCAAGGCACGTTACAACTTTTTTTAGCACCCCTCATTTTGGGAATAGGAAAGTTGAAAAATTCAACACGCCCCCACACGGCAGGCTGTGTGTGGTGTGCTCACATGCAGGCCTGTCCACTTAGTTCCTCACTGCCACCCTTCAATATCTGCTGCCTGAGGCGGTTATCTCACTCAGCCTAACGGTAGGGCCGTCCTGCCAGACTTGGAGCTCAATGAGTGCAGGGTTTCTACAGCTTCTAGGACACCCCTTTCTTCAAGCTCAGGAGGAAGGGTTGTTGCGGGTGGCGAGCGAAAATGTGAAAGCCCGACGATGTCCAGAACATTGTCTTAGCCACTGATGGAGACGTACCTTAGACTAGAATTCCTCTAGTCTCCCCCTCTTTCTTTTTTCCTTTCTCCTCCTGTGATGGAACTCCTATTTGGGCTTTTTTCTGGCCCATGTAGGACCAGTCTGGATAGTTAGCCTTGGTGAAGACCAGATGTTTACATCCCCCAAAAAGTTTTTGATTTGAGTTTCCATTGAAACGAGGCTGCATTTTAATGTTTTAATGTTGTATTTTAATCTTGTTTTTAAGTTGTATTTCAATCAATTTGTTTTTATATCGGTTGTTAGCCGCCCTGAGCCTGGTCTTGGCTGGGGAGAGCGGGATATAAATAATTTTTTAAAAATTATTAATATTATTATTATTATTATTATTAGGGTCCTGGGTGCAGACCTGTTCCTGACCCGTTCCTTTCGGCTCCATCTTCTGTAAGGTACCCCTGTGCTTTGTGTTCAGTCGCAGTGATACACCTTCTCTCTCTGACCTCTCAGGTTCTTTGGGGTCCCGTTTGAACGAGCTCAAGCAGAAGGTGGTGGCAGAGAACCCGCAGGAGTACGGCGTTGCCGTGCCACGTGAGTAAACCCTGCTTTTCTTTTCTTTTCCATGGCAAAATGCGCCTCCCACCTCGCCCCAGCACCTCCACCGTTTATGCCAAGCCGTTCATTACAGTCTTGTCAGG